AACACAACTTCAATATAACCATAATATAAATTGTAGATCTGTTTTTTCCAAAATCTTAAAGAACTGATTCAGAGAAAAAACATGACAACTTTTTTAAGAAGCGAATATTTTTGGTGGAATATTTCGAAATATGTCATAATCTTCAACAAAAGAGTACTCTAGACCAGTCGTCTTCGCTTCTGTTGCATCCCGGATGGTTGTAATAATCCAATAAATCTCGTCATCTAAATGCTATAAATCACTTTCTAGGCCTACGCTGATGTCTCGCACGCGAAAATTGTTTCACCCAGTGCCGTTGCAAGCAAGTTCTAAACGTTTAGGAGTATATTTCATATTCGTCAGTGACTGACTATATTTAAAATAAGCGATTTTTATGAATTCAGATATATTTGTATTGAAAAGCGTTGCAGTTGATTTCCAAATCCGAACCAAACTTCCTTTTGTTTGTCTAACTTTGTTTTTTTTTATCTGATTTTTGATAATTATCATCGTAGGATCTACACAGACTCTTCTCTCTTAAATATACCGCTCAAACATACCTACACGTAAGTTTACAATTTACAAACAGGAAAAGAAAATTACTATAAACTAAGATACAAACGTTAATTATATGGATAATTAGCTATTAATACCATAAACTGATGTCTGATTACTATGAATACGAAGTTCTGTGCATAGAATAAAAGCCAGTAACTTTCTTATAGAAAATTTAAAGATGTATAGCTTCCATTTAAAATTTTTGTTTCGATGTTTCCTTCCATCCGTGAATTCCCTAGACATAGATTTTCCTTCGGTCTTCTACGTGGAAGTGAGTATCACAGACTGGAATTCGTTAGTGTCTCCACCTACGTCAATTTATTTTTATACAACTGCACACACCTTCTTCTTCTTTAAGTGCCGTCTCCCAATCTTAGGTTGGATATCATCATCACTATCTTTACTTTATCTACTGCTGCTCTGAAGAGTTCTATAGAACTGCATTTAAACCAGTCCCTTAAATTCTTCAACCATGACACTCTCCTTCTTCCTATACTCCTTCCTCCTCTTATCTTTCCCTGTATTATCAGTCTTAGCAGTTCATATCGCTGATCCCCTCATTACGTGTCCCAGATATTGTAACTTTTTTATTTTTATTGTGTTTATTATTTCGCATTCTTTGCCCATTTCTCGCAATACTTCCGTGTTAGTTTTCTTCTGTGTCCATGCTATTCTAAGCATCCTCCGGTAACACTACATTTCAAAGGACTGTAACTTATTTATGTGTTCTTGCTTCAATGTCCAGCTTTCAGCATCTCAGTGCTCTTACTCTCAGTTCTAATCTAAGATCTTTGTTGCAGAGAATTGTTTTCAGTTTTACAAACGCATTTCTTGTTATTTCTATCCTAGCTATTATTTCGGTTGTTTGATCATTATTGTCTGAAATCCAGGTTCCTAGGTATTTGTATTTATCAACCCTTTATATCGGTACATTTCCCAAATGTATGTTTGTTGGTATATTTGTTTTCTTTGTTATTATCTTGTATTTGGTCCTTTTTATATTCATTTTTAGTCCACATTTTTCACAGAAACTGTTTATTCTGTTTAGCAGTAATTGGAGTTGTTCAGCAGAGCTTGCCATAATCACGGTGTCATCTGCATATCTTATGTTGTTAATAGATCTTCAAAAATGGCTTCACTATATACATTAAATCGTAATGGGGACATAATACATCCCTGCCTAACTCATCTCCCGATTTCAATTTACTTTGTCAATTTACTTACTTTGTCAAATGCTTTTTCAAAATCAACGTAACAAACATGCACATCAATATTTATATCCATGCATCTTTGAGCTAACACATTAAAAGCAAATAACGCTTCTCTGGTTCCTAGTCCGTTTCTGAATCCAAACTGACTATCATCTATTCCTTTTTCCAGTTTTTTATTTATACGACCATGTATTATTTTCAGGAATAATTTGAGAATGTGACTTATTAGTGATATTGTTCTGTATTCACTGCAATATTTAGCGTTTGTATTTTTAGGGATAGCACAAAAGGTGGAGAGTAACCATTGTTTCGGTATGTGTCCTGTTTTGTATACTGAGTTAAATAAGTCTACTATAATGTCTAAGGTTTCATCATTCATGCATTTTAAGATTTCTATAGGCATTTGGTCTGGACCTAATGCTTTACCATTTTTGCTGTTTTTTAATGCCATTTTAATTTCTTTTTTTAATATCTTTAAAACCATATCCTCTTCTACTTCTATCTCCATCTGTTCTGTTCTATTGTCTTCGAACAGTTCATTGATGTATTATGTCCATCTCTTTAATTTGTCGTTAGTATTCAACACAAGTTTCCCATTTGCATCTTTCAGTATTCCGGTTTTCTTGTTCTATTATTGTGAGTTAATGCTTTAATTTTTTTATGTGTATTAAAACTATCATGTCTTTTCTGGTATTCTTCTATTTCTGCGCATTGTTCTTTTAACCATTGTTCTTTCGCTTTCTTAATTCTGTATTTTATTTGTTTATCCACTTTTTTGTACATCTGATTATCTTTGTTCTTATATTGACGTCTTTCTTCCATTAAATCTAAAATTTCTTCCGTCATCCATTGTTTCTTTTATATCTGGTTGGTATTAGAATTTCTTTTTGACTTTTATCTATTTCTGTCTTTATTAATAACCATTTTTTCTCCGTCTCAGTATTTTGCAGAATTTGTTCTTTAACATTCATTAATCCGTTGTTGATTTCATCTGCCAGGCGTTGCCTTATGAGTGGGTTCCTTAATTCTACTTGTATCGAATTTTTGCATTTGTTGTTCTTCGTTTTATTATTTACACAAACTACAACACAAACCTAGCAACATAAAGTTAATAGAAATCGTCTCTATCTTCTGCCTTTCTGTGTGTTTAACCCGGCCCAGTCGCGAAAGTTTTTCAGCAAGGATATTTGTCGCCCTTTTCCTTTGATTTTACCCTTCACTATCAGCTACAACAACTCATACCTCTTATCTCTAAATATTTGCCCCAAATATGCTGTCTTTGTTCTTTTAATGGTGGTCAAAAGTTTTCTGTCTCTTCCCATTCTGTGCAACACTATTTCGTTCGTAATATAATCGGTCCATGGTATTTTCAAAATTCTTCTAAAAAGCCACATCTCAAAGCTTTCAGCTTTCTCATCAAGTCAACATAACAGTACAAGATTCGGCACCATAAAGAAGAATAGAGTGGATGTAACATTTATCGAATTTGCAGATTGAGATTTTGGTTGCTTAAAAATTTCCTCATATTGACAAAGGCTGCTCTTGATTGCTCTATTGTTGATCGAATTTATGATTTAGGATTTCGATCTTCAGTAATCTAGTCTACTAAGTACTTAATTTTATCCACTTGTTCATAATCTTCATTTTTTATCTCGATCCATGTTATGACTTTACGCCTCTTACGTATAACCATGGTTTTTGTTTTCTTTTCGTTTGTTTGGTCTCTATAAGTTACGCTAATACACGATTAGATATAGGAAGCTCTACTGCCTTGACAACTTTTCCTTACGTTTTCTCTTTAAGAAAGTCTTTTGTGATGTTAAAAGATTCCTAATCAGTTATTCTTCTTCTTTTTGACTGGCTTTACGACTCGCGTTGATTCTTCCCCGCATCCACTAAAGAATTACATTTCTCGTTTCACGCTTCAGTCCTAGATAAATCTCCTAATCAGTACATATCAAACTTAAGTAGCCGCCCATGAGACATTCCTTTATATCAATAAGTACTTCATCTTTCTTCTAGTTTTTCATGCGTTATATCTACACCTGTATTTACTGGGCAATATTCAGTCTTATTTATGTTTCAAAGAGTCTTTTCATCTCTTTTGTTGTTTTCCTGGGAGCCTTCTTCCGTTTGGTTTTCCATATATTACAATTTTTGAATCTATCTTTTCTATCCACACACCTAGAAATATCGAGTAGTACATGGATCTTTATCGATGTTTTAATAGGGTATCATATATAGGCCCTATTTCATTGTCGGCATCATTTTATCAGAGTAGTTTTTGGAGATTACTGCTATATTGATCCTCATTAGAGCACTTTTAGCTTCCATCACCACAAACTTGTAGTTCTACTCTTTTTGTGATTTTCTCGTCGGGGTACTTCTGATAGATATATTTCTTTAAAAGCCTGTGTTGCATCAGTGCTCTCTCCAGAAGTAGTTTGAGGTTTCCGCAGTTTAATAGTGTTATTAGTGACAATAGTCTGCTACCTTTTTCCTGAACATCAAATAAACAGCTTATCACTGACTATATTGTAGAGTATTCATCAGACTGGTTATAACTTTCTTACTTAATTAATTTTGATTTAATTTGTTTTAACTTTTGTTAACTATTGTTTTGTATTGTATGTTCATTGTTTGTTTCATGTTGTATGAAGCTTTTAGTTTTTATTAAAACAAAAATCTTTGTACTGTAGCCTGATGATTGGGCATATATTGTAAGCCTCGAAAGCGGTAGCCTACAATTTATATATAATAAAACCTAGCTAAGATTGTGCGAATTGACTATCTCATATACATCATTTTTATGTTTTGTTGAAATGGCATATTCTGCTCCCACGAATATAGGAGAAATAAGAGCCGTAGTTACAGAGTTCATAATGTTGATATGAACTAATATGAAAGGAATTGCGGTCTGCTATCTCCAGTTAAACCATTTGTAATAGATATTTTAAGTCACACAATTGTCATGCAAGTTTAGACTCTATTTTGTTAATTCTCTTGGCTAGCAGTCTGCCTGGAACATATTCCATCTCTATATCACGATGGAACATCACGATGAAGGAGTCTACGAATATTTACTAATTTTTCTATTTCTATTTTAATTTTAATAGTATTATGTACTAATGATGTTGTAGCGCTGTATCATACAATTTAGAACTTTAAAACTTTTAAGTCATGTAAGGTCATATTTTATTATTATTAGCAGCAGCTAATTAGCACGCACTCAGTGAAATAAAACAAGAAAATAAATGCTTGCAGGGTTTAATGTTAACAAAAAACAATGCGAGTCCATTACCTTTGTGTTTTTGGTTAATTTTTTATGTTCATATTTACAAATATTTTGTTGTTCATATCTTCCAGCGTACGCACACCAAGATACGAAAACAGTCGTCGAGTAAAAAAAATCGGTCCGTTTTGTTTAGGCTGCTGGTTTTTCATCACCTCCAGAGACTCCAGTTGCAGTGGAGACCGTATCGTCTTGAGGTTGGGTGCAGACCAACGATGGGAATTTCTTTTCTAGAGCTTGTCTGTATTTAGGATGGCTGAAAAGTAATCGAATTTAATTAACATAACAAAAAATGAATTTATGGAAAATGTTTTTGTAGATATAGGTATATGGTATATATCTCAAATAGGATTGCTGAATCATACGCAAAAAATAGTTTTGTGTGAGTTAATGTGAACAAAGAGAAAGAAACGAAGCGAAAAATAAGACTTGAAGGGATGATTCTTTTTTAATAAGAAAACATAAATTAAACTATATGTAAACAATCCAAAACCTTCAGCAAGACTTAACACGCTGGAATTATTGAAATTATTCTTCATGACTCCACTATATAAAAACAACTCTCGTTAGAAGGTGAATGAAAAATAATCAGACCGCAAGAATTTGCTAAGTCCGTCTATAATGTCGTAATGAAATATTTTAAGAACAAAAACATATCATACTTGAAAGCTTACTTTTTACTTGCCCATGTGTTCCGCTCCAAAAACACACACTGGAGATCGAAAATCAGGATCTACAAAACTATTATCAGATCAATAGTATGTTATGGGTGCGAGACATGGGACAGAAGACACAAAACGAAAGCTGGAAGTCTTCGAAAGAAAAGTCCTAAGGAACATATTTGGAAATATTAACGAAAACAGAGTATGGAGATCCAGGTACAACCATGAACTCTACCAACTGTTCAAAGAGGCACCCATCTCAGAATTCTTTAAACTTCAGAGACTTCGATGGCTGAGTCGTCTAGTGAGAATGGAGACCAGAAGATTGCCAAAAAGGGCCCTAGATGGTAAAATGCGGAACACAAGACCAAAAGGAAGGCTATGAAAACGTAAGAACGTAAGACATAAGAACCTGGAGAAGATCGGTGCTGGACTCGCAAGGTTGGAGGCATAGTTTGGAGAAGGTCAAGATTCGATTTGGGCTGTAGCGCCATTAGAGAGAGTATCGGATCTTAATCCCATTAATAATATGTGGGTTATTTTAAAAACTAAACTTCTTTAAATAGGTTACACAACAAAAACAGAATTGATTGGTGCTGTAATCCAGATGTGATTTCGAGATCAACAAATATCAGAAATCTGTAAAAATTTGTTAATTCTTTAGCAAAACGCATTAAAGAAGTTAAAAAAGCTAAGGCTAGTAAATATTGTTTAATGCATATGATTACTTCTGTCTACAATAATTCGCACACTACTGTAGTTTTTTTTTGTTGCTGAACATATATTTTATGTCTCTTAAAATAGTTGACGCAGTCAATTTTCAGCTTTTTTCATTATGCAATTTTTGATTATACTTTATTTAAACACTTACACAGTTTTTGTATAAACACTGTTTATTTTACATATTTCATCTGAATTATTTTGAGCCTGAGAATAATCATTCCTTCAGGTCTCTACAAATGCAATCAAACTCCAAAATACATTATTTTTATGAATTGAAGTCCAACTATTTTGTTGTCCAACATCCCTGTCTTAAAGCTTTACTAATTCAAGTAACATCTGACGTCGTCTTTCCTACTTTGCCTGCGCTGTTACATCCTGAGTATAAGACTTTTACAACTTTAATTTAACCTCTAATGACCCGATTTTGTTTCATAAACTTATTTAATGGTACGGTATGGTAAGCTTTCTCAAGGTCGACAAAGGTTATATAGATAGTTGACACTGTTTCTATGCGTTATTCTATAATCTGTTTAATAGTGAATAACCCGTCTATACAATACTTTAACTTGTTCTTCAATTTGGTGTTTTAGTCCTCGTCCATAAAGCCTTGCTTTAGAAAATAAACACTAATTCCCCTGTAATTTTGCAGTCTTTTCGGCTTTCTTTCTTAAAAATGAAAGATATGATGGTTATATTCCATTCGTTGGGTAACGGCTCGTCTTCGTTCAGTCTTGGACCTGTACCAGGGACTTTCCTATTCTTTGGCTACATGACACTTTTTCGTACTTCGGCTGCAACTATTATTGCTTCTTGTTGAACATTCCTCGATTTTTCAGATTTTTTCTTAAGTGCCTTCCTGAACTTTGTTTCTATTTTCTGTTAGGAGCTGATAATAATTACTATTGAATGCTAATAAGATGTTGTCTTGCAGCGTCTTTATTCTGTGTTAGTAGTCATCTAATAACGTTCCACGCTCTATTCGTTCTTGTATTTCCTGCACACATATATACTTCTTCGCACGTTCTTTCCCAGTAATTATTTTGACGTTCTTTAATTCTTCGATATATTTCTATCCTCGAGAATTCCAGTAGCTGTCCATTTATAGTATGCTTTCTGCTTATTTTTTACCAAAGTTTCTAGTTCATGGTTTCCCCACAGGCATTTCTTTTTTTATAGTTATTACAGGAAAAAGGTATGAAATGAAAATTGAAAAATGTAACGAAGTAGGTATAAATTGAAGGCAAATAGAATATAGAATAATTTTTAATTATTTCATTTTCAATGTTCTTTCATTTTTCATCTGGAAATGAAGCTTCGTCTTCTTGAACTGTTGTCGTTTATGAAAGCTTGAAGTTCTTACTAATTATTCTTTTTATTTATATCCCTGTGTTTTCTCCCTAAGTCTCTTCTTGGATCATACCAATATCTATCCCCTGAACGGGCCTTGTCTAAGTATCGCCTACCAGGTTTTCTTTGGTATGTATCTTCTATTCCTACCAGGAATTTGCAACTCTACAATTCTTAGTAGTAGGTGCTTATAACTTCGGCGTTAAATCTGTTCCTCTTTTTCTAATTGTGCTGTCTTTTTTTGCTTACATGAGGCATCAACCACGCAGGATTATTAGCGTGTATGGATTATGTGACAAAATTAGAACTTAATAATAGAATATTAACAATAACAAGAGATAACTAGAAAAAGCCTTAAATATATACAGAGTAAAATGCTAGATTTATGATAAAAGCTTGGTGTCTTTGAGGAATGTGAAAATATTTTTTGTTTTTTCCAAGAGCACTATTAAATGTTGGTGGTATGTTATACATTTTGCGTTGCACTTCATACTTGCGACACTGCAATAAATATAATGTTTTACCGTTAAGAGACAAAAAGAAATATGGAGAATGATCAGAGGACAAAGAAAAGAGATGAACGAACTAATGAAAATGAAACACGTTTAGAAGGAAACATGGGTAGACTGCTTTCGATCCCTATTTGCTAAAGGTGACGATAATGAACCACCAACACCAGAGGTGACGACAAACGAAGAAATGAATATTGAGGAGGAAGAGGTAAAGGAAGCATTAAGGAAATTAAAAAATAGAAAATCACCAGGAGAGGACAGAATACCGAACGAACTCCTAAAGTACGGAGGACCAGATCTGACCAAACAACTATTAAGACTAATCCAAAAAATAATAGAACAAATCAGAATTCCTCAAGAATGGAAGATCAAGCATCCTAATACCTCTCTTCAAAAAGGGAGACAAATCGGACCCGGAAAATTACATAGGAATTAATTTATTAATCACAACACTAAAATTAACAACCAAAGTGATAACAAATAAACTGAATGAAATTATAACACTAGCAGAAGAACAACAAGGTTTTAGGTCAGGAAGATCATGCACCGACGCTATATTTATAATGAGGTAAATGCAAGAGAAATCATTAGAATACAACAAACCGGCATATCTATGTTTCGTGGACCTTAAGAAGGCATTTGACCTGGTCAAATTAAAAGACGTTATCCACTTACTGTACGAAGAGAGATACATCTAGGAATAATCAAAACGATCGAAAATATCTACCAAAACAACACAATAAAAGTAAAAGTAGAAGAAGAACTAACCGACCCCATTGAAGCTGGCAATGGGATAAGACAGGGAGATTCCCTGAGTCCTCTATTGTTCAACCTGATTATGGATGAAATAATAAAAAAAGTAAGAACTAAAAAAGGATACCAAATGGGAGAAAAACAACTTAAAATGATCTGCTATGCAAACGACGCAATACTACTCTCTAAAAGTGAAGATGATTTACAAGTATGCTGCACCAATTTAATATAACCGCCAGAAAATTTAACATTAATTTCCCAAAAAAGACACAATGCATGGTTACAACAGCAAATTTACTAAGATGTAAATTGGGGCTGGAAGGTCAGATAATAGAACAAGTGATGGAGTTTAAATATCTAATCATCACATTATCTAGCTACGGAAAGTTCGAAACTGAAGTGGAAGATCAAGTGAATAAGCAAACAGAGCGCAGCTGCTAATGAAACAATATGGAGAAATAAAATTATCGGGTAAGAAACGAAAGGCAGAATTTACAAAACAATCATCAGACCAATAATGACATACGCGGCAGAAATAAGACCTGACACAGAAAGGACAAAAAGGATGTTAGAAACAGCAGAGATGAAAACACTTAGAAAAATTGATGGTAAGACACTATGTGACAGAGCTAGAAGTACAGATATAGGACGTAGATGCAAGGTAGAGAACATCAAGAACTGAGTAAGAAATAGAAGAGTAGAATGGAACGATCTATAAGCCGAATGACAACAAATAGAGAAGTAAAGATGGCAAGAGACGGTTCCCAATAGGAAGACGATCAGTAGGAAGACCACGAAAACCAGAGTTATGTCTATATAAAAAGAAGAAGTAGAAGAAGAAGAAGACCGGTAAGACACTTTTACACTTTTAAAACACAGGTTTATCAGCACGTTTCAGTGGTGTTAATCGAGTATGGCCAATCTGGAGGCGAGTGAAGGTTACTTGTTCTCTTCTATTTTTGAATTGTAATAATATGTAGAAGTGTCGCTGTGTGCCTCGATATGGAAGTCTGGGTCAATTTATCGAAGAATTTTATTTCTTATTCGGGTGCATCTACTTTTCATTTTTTTTAATCATACTGTTTAATGTATATTTTTTTTAGTAGATCTGTGACTTCAGAAATTTCATTGGTATACATCCTTGCAATGCTTAGTGGGTATGAAGATCCTGTACTGTTTTCGAAGAAATCTATTAATTGTTCTTAGTTTAAGGTATAACTGGAATTTTGACCTCTAAATAATAATTCTTCTGTTGATTTCAGCATTTCCTCTAGAGTCTTTTTTGGTTTCTTGTCTTGTTTTAATTTAGAATTTTTCTCTTTGTTTTTTTTTGGAATTAAAATATATGTTGTGATGAAGGAGTTGAAGACGGTGTAGAATGCTCGGAATCTGTGCGTTTTGTGGTACTGGATCGGTCCTCGCCTGATTTTGCATTGTGAGGTATTGGAGTTGTGTCGCCTGATACAGATACCTTTACTGGACATAGTTTTGCTAAATGCTTGGTATTTTTGCATATTTGACAAGTCTAATTTTCTAAACATAAGTAAATTCTATATGATGTTTCCGCATGAGTGATAACGAAAGAATTGGATAAAGTATACTTGGTTAAAGGGGATATGTAGGTTTGTCGCCTGAAGCTTAATATATGCTGGAATTCAGAACTTGATGTTATGTTTTTATAATGTTTATTAATAAATTTGTTTAATTTTACTAGAGTTGATAAAATGAAATGTCTTCTTGTTATTCATTATAAAGGGTTTAATTAGTGTTTTATCGTTCCACTATTTTAAACATTTTTAAATTTTTAAATCCAAAGGTACTTCTTGTCCTTTTCGGTCTGGAAACTTTCTTTGTAGAAGTGATCGAATTTGTTGCTTCTTAGTAGATAATGAAATCTGATTTACACAGGTGAAAGAGTAGGATAGGATTTTAACATAGTATTTTTGTTTTTAGTAAAATATTAAACTTTTCTCTAAACATAAATTATTAATCAATAATGCAAACGAAGATAACTTTGAAAAATATGTGCAAAATAAAATTTAAAATAAATTACCTAATTCCATATACTATAGGATTGTATACAGCATTAGCTTTGGCGAAGAGCGAGCACCAGATAGTAGCCAATGGGCTGATTTTGGAATTGCCCATGATACCAGCGAAGTTTGTGACCAAGTAGGGTGTCCATGCCATAAACCATAGCGTGATGGTCATCAAAGCAATTTTGGCCAATTTGCATTCTGCACTTGTCTGTGAAGCTTCTGAAGATCGGAGAGAGGCTACATTCATCTTTTTGGCTTGTTCCCTCATGGATTTCTCGTGAGCAGCGACAGCCTTAACAAAGATAAAAAATAATAATTTAAGTAAGGTTTCGTCTTCTCAATTATTGAATACTCAATGATATAAATTGTAAAGGCAGACGGGAAACTGTATTTTACCATAAGGAATAATTGTGAAAATTGTATTTATAAAATTTTTTGCTAGAAATAAGGCTTATTTGCAGTTTAGTATCTAGAGGCGGGTTTTCTTTAAAATGCTCATGTCAGGTCAATTGTGTTTAGGTGTTTATAGCATAATTTTTTTGTTAATAATGTTTAGTTCCTCAGATACCGACGATTTAATTTCGAAAATATCAAAAAATTGCTAATTTTACAAAATATTAGTTTTCTAATCATTTTTTGTTTACTCTAAAAAATAATCTGCAAGATGATCCGGTTTTAGGTACGGAGATATTGATATTTAAAGTTGATGGCTCACAAAAATAATAAATTTTGAGGTGCGAGCGAACGCAGGGAGTACACTTAAATAACTAGGTGGGGCTTGGTAATGTTTGGTTAGAATAAGTGAAAGTAGATTAGGTTCGTTCAAAAAACAGCTATATGGAAAAGAGACCCAGGTCTTACTATGCCGAGAGAAGACAAGAAAGGGAAAGGTTAATTGACACGGTTGAATGCCGATATTGCGGGCATCCTGATACTGTGACACATACTATATTGGAGTGCAACAGATTGATAGTAAAAAGAAACAGAATTGTAAGGAAGACAGGTATCCAATTTGTGACAGTGAGAGAAATGATTGAAAGCAAAGTAGGTTGGACTAGTGTACATAATTATGTCCGTGTAGTGATCAAGAAGGAATGAAGAAAGCGAAAGACAGTCTAAGCAACGGTAAGAGGAGAAGACCTTGTAAGTTGAAGGTATATTAAATACGTTTTGATAAGAAGCGAACAAGTAAGAAGCTTACAAGTGAGTCAGACTATGGGAATGAGGAAATATCTGTCTGGGAGTAAAGCTGTTCTAGGAGCGATGAGGGTCTTCCACGTGCTATCTGGAACACGGTTCGTCTCAAGTAAAAAAAAAAGGAGACGAAGCCCTTGCTAGTAATGTGCATATAAATGAAGGGAGTGCTTTGTAAGTGTTGCTCGGCCTTACAGTGGCCATTCAGTTTCCGGAGCTCTGGATTACAGATAAGAGTCTGTTTTAGCCGGTAGGCATTTGGCGTAGACTCGTCGACTAGAGGGCGTTTTAAAGTACCTCGGTAACTGTTGCTGCGACTTCCAAGAATGAATTCTGCACTAAGGTCAGTCAGACTAGACTGGCATGTCTCTTAAAGGTTTCAGACTCCCCTCTATAAAGACGAAAAAAAGTTAGATTTGATTAGGGTAGGCTTTGTTAAAATATATTTAGTTTGGTTAGCCCTCGATACCTATTGTATGTGTTACTGCCGTACAAAAGAGAGGCCATGTATAGATCGAATTACCTTTAAAGTTCACAGATGTTTTAAATGTATATCGAAAGCTTTGAAGAATTTCGGATTTGGAGAAATCTTTGTAATAGGGTAAACCGTATTACAAACATTCTTCTAAATTCGAGATCACCATTAACAAATAATGTAGTTTGTAAAAATAAATAATTAATTTTGTAGATATTTCTGGAGTAATACGGACGTTTTACGCAGTTATGACTAGTAAGAATTATATAATTGATAAGAGTTAGTTATTACCGCACACAATTAAGAGTTCTCAGAATGTTTTTAAATAAATATAATTTAGTTACTTGCTAGCTTCCGAATTACTGATGCCGAAGTGCCGAACTGAGAGAGAGATTTTTGGATTACTTGAACTGTTAAACTGAGACCGGAAAAACGATTAATAACTTACAGTACACTATGAACGGTCGGTAAAACAATGACAGTTTTTTTGGTTATCGAAGTAAGATCTATATGGTACTACAATTGGTTTTTTTAGCTACGTCACTAACGGACGTGAAAGCTGCAGGTAATACATGACAATTGTGGCTTCAGAACGATTTGAACAGGTAATGCAGATAGTTAATGCAAATATTAATCCTTATATAATATTTTTAATCCCAACTAATAGAAAAATTGGCTGTAAACGTTTTAAATTGAGTCTTAAACACCAAATTAACCTTGCTGTTCCACTACAAAACAACTTGGTGATGATATAAACTATTCACGAAAAAGATTTATTAAGCAGTAAGGGAAAATACTGTCACATTAACTCCAAGAGTAAAAGGGAATAATTATTCAAAAGAAATCAGATATCTTATAACAGACAAAAACTAAGAAAGCTAGCAGCAAACTAGGACTCCACAAGATTAAAATCCGTTTAAATAATGCCACTTAGCAATTAAAAAAAAATAGTTACAAAATTTAAAGAATAATATATTAGTCAACACCTACTAAGTAATCTAACAGTAGATAGTAACACAGATTATTCACTGTGGAAGGCAACAAAGAGGCTAAAGAGACTAATAATCATCCAAGATCTTCCAAATAGGATGGAAAATAGTAATTGGGCTAGAAGCAGAAACATAATGCGGAGAAATTTGCGGTCCACCTGAAAAACACATTTTTGATCTAATGATAATCAAGGAAAAGAACATAGATGGGAGAATCGGTCCAGATAGAAGAAAGAAAAACCCCAATAAGCTGCAGGATATGATCTGATCACTGGAGAAATATTAAAGAAGTTACAAGGAAAGGAATATCAAGGTGACTTATTTAATAAATGTTTCATTCAGATTGAGATAAAGGCTCTTTCTAGAAGTGGGAGAAGTTATTATGATCACGAAACTAGGAAAACCTTCTAACGAAGTATCATCCTATATACTAATCTCACTACTACCGGTGATATCAAAATTGCTTGAAAAATTTCTATTGACAAGATTAAAACCCATAATACACCAAATCGTCACTTTGGTCACAGAAGTGAATAATCTACAATTGACAATCATTAGAAGAAAAGATAGTGTGCTCTACTGTCTTGTTAAATGTAGCTCAGGCTTTCGATAAAATTTAGCATAAGGGTTTAAATTACAAATTAAGAAGTAAGAATCCTATTGCCTGAAAATTATAAGAAAGTGGAGTACTTCGAATGAAGATGAAAGCAAGAATTAACTTTAAGATATGTAATGAATGGTCCCAAATACAGTCTAAGACGAAGAAAGACTTTCATAGTTGTAGAACTTAGTATGGTATTGATACAAGAATGCTATAAAATTAAAATAGCTATGATGGTGACCAACCTTCTGAAAGGACATGGTACATGGAGCAAAAGAATGCCTAAACAGGATTAAAAAATCTTAAAGTTTTATTTCGATAGATACTTCGGAAAAGCAAGAATATACACCGATTTAAGGGTGATTAAAGCTGGAATGGTAGTTGCAAGGAAGCAATTTAGACCTGTATCTTCTGTATACGTGTGATATGTGAAAATTACACATTTTATACGCGAAAAAAAAAATAAATGAAACAAAAGCGATCCATATTAATTTTATAAATACAAGAATCCAAAATTTATCAGTTACAATATGTGGTATCCAAGTTGCTTATGCAATGTCAGCAAAATATCTGAGTATCACTTTAGACGCGAGACTTGCGCTGAAAGGTACACGTCAAAAGAAAAGAGAAGAGCTTGGTAATCGATCTAGAAAATATATTGAATGATTGGAAATTCGGTATTATCCACTTATAAGAAATTGTTAATCTATAAGCAAATATTAGGACAAGTATGCGTATATGGTTGTCAACTCTGGGGATGCGTCAAGTCTAGTAACACAAACACCATCCAAAGATTCTAGAACAAAGTACTGAGGAATATAGTGATTGCCCCTTGGTACGTGCGCAACAGTGACCTCCACCGGGATCTGGGTAGGGAAATAGTGGATAAAGTGATCAAGAGGACAGCAGCAAGTCACGAGCGCAGACTTCATAACCATGGGAATGTCGAGATAATCCAGCATTGACAACAATGGGGTTATAAGAAGACTCAAAAGGACTAATACCCTTTGAGATAGTGTAAGTGTACACTGTAATTAATTATGCTAAATTAAGTAAGATAAGATACGAGGACGGATAAGTTCTTAGTTTTAGTAACTTCAGTATTTCTAAATAAAAAATAAGAAAGCTGTATTTGATAGTCTGACATTGTGATGTAAAATAACTAACAGTAGAAAAACTAGTGTTTACTATAAAACATTTTTTATATATTTTGTTATTTTAGTGAGAAACTGAATTTGATGAACCACTGCTTCTTATGTCTACTGCAGTAGTTAACTGCATGTGTCTGTTTTTATAATTGAGTTAATTGAAATAATCGTCTCATGACAAATTTAATAGACTTAAAGATTTAAATTGTTCTTAAGTAAACATAATATTTTAAATTAATGTTCATATTATCAAACATTATAATAGCTTTACACATGCTGATACTCGTAAAATTTAATACAATTAAAAATTAAATAACAATGAGTTGTAGCAGTGTTGCAGTTTTAAATAAATATAAAACTAATTTATAAATAAAACAAGAAAAAAGTGGTACATTAGGCGGTACTGTAGACTATCGCGAAGCTTGATATATGTTTTCACAATTTTTAAATTTTAAATATTATTTTTAAAACTTTTTTATCATTGTTTTTATAGATTTTAATAGATTTTAATAAAAAATTTACAGGTTAATTAACGGACTCTCCTCGTCGCGTAAATGGACTTTTCCAATTGTTTACTGTGACTTCGAATTACGAATAGCTAGTTCGTAGCTCTTCTTCCGTGATGCCATGTCGTGGAGCTACTTCCGTGATGCTCCACTCAGCATTTTATTATAGAAAAAAAGTAATATAACGCCAGTTTTCGCTTCAAAATGAGAAAATAATAGACAGTAAGAGTTTACATGATGCTCTTTTCGTACATAGCTGCATGAAATACTGCAAGCAGAGTATTGCATGCAGGAAGAGGCAAGAGAGTCGCGTTATTTTATTACTTGCCTCTACCTGTTTACACCAAAATTCGTCAATTTTGTAATCAGTGGCCGATGT